CAGTGGTTGAGCATCAACTGTGCACCAAGAGGTCACTGGTTCGATTCCTGGTCAGGGCACATGCCTGGGTTGTGGGCTCGATCCCTAACAAGAGGCATGCAGAGGGGCATTGATGTTTCTCTCACATCAATACTTCTATCTCTCTTTCCCTCTCCTTTCCTCTCTCTCTAAAATCAATAAAAACACATTTAAAAGAAAAAAAAAAGATCAATATGGAGAAATAAAATGCTTGTAAAACTGACTAGCTCAAGTTTAAGAAAATAACACTGATCTCAGAAAATTATTTCAGTCACTATTAAAGTCCTAAAAAACCCAGAGAAACTTCTAAATGTTTTAAATACTAGACTAGGACTTATGATGTCATGTGTCTCCATTTCTCAAGGACAACTCAATATTTCATATTGCTTAAAGAAAATACAGGCCATCTAGCCCACTCCTTCCCTTCCCCTGTCTGCCACCAGCCAGATCTAAAGGGTGCTTGAGTATACGTATGAGGCTGTTCATTATGGAATTATTTATGGGAACTGGAGGCAGCAGAAATGTCCAACACTAGAGGATTACATAAGCAAAGAGTGTATATAAGTAGCAGATTATTAAAAAGAAGTTAGACATAATTCTTTAGAAATATTAGAAATATAATCAACCATGTAGATAGATCTTAAAAATATGGTGTTGAGGGGAGGGGGTGGCGGGGGAGAGGTCAATGGGGGAAAAAGGAGACTCGTGTAATACTTTAAACAATAAAGAATTAAAAAGAAATATGGTGTTGAATTTAAAGAGAGAGCAAAAGGGATAGAAGAGTGCCAAAGAAATAGATTGAGATGTAAAACTTAAAAATGGTCTTGTGCCTAAAGACAGAAAAAGAAAAAAACTTCATAAATTAAAAAATTGTTCGTCTGCCTCATCTTTTGGAACTTGACTATATAATTCTTTCCAATGTATTTTTTGCATGATGTGGGATACTTCATGGCTCACTCAATACCCTTCATGCTGCAGCTTACACCATTGCTGGTCCTTTTTTTTTCCCTTCAAAGGGCAAGGTGAATAGCTTGCCATTGACCTTCATGACTACCCTACATACTTTCCCACACCATCATCAAATAGCTTTCTAGCTTTATCTTCTCCAAGTGAAATGACATCAGGTCCTCTTGCTGTTCCTTACAGATTTGATTTTATTATTATTTAGTCGTCTAGGAGCCCTGTTGAGCCAGTTCCAAGGAGTCTCCACCCTTTCAGGTTGTGGAATGTGAATCAGGTCCAGTGCTCTTGCTTTCTTCACTCCTGCTTCATAAACCCCAGTTCTGGCCATCTCCGAACAGTGCCATGCCACTCCCCAGGCAGTGTGTGAGGAATACATAATAAAGTGTAAATACTCCCAGGCATGGGTTACTGAATTAAAGTTTATTTCTAAAACAGATTTCAGCCCTAGCTGGTTTGGCTCAGTGGATAGAGCATTGGCCTATGGACGGAAGGGTCCCAGGTTCAATTCCCATCAAGGGCACATGCCCAGGTTGCAGGCTCAGTCTGCAGTAGGGGGCGTGCAGGAGAAAGCCAATCAATCGTTCCCTTGCATCATTGATGTTTCTAGCTCTCTCTCCCTCACCCTTCCTCTGTGAAATATATAATATATATATTTTAAAAACAACAAACAGATTTCACTCCTAGGTATTGGTAGACCAGAAATTTGGAAAGGAGTGAGGAAATATAAGAGCTGAAGAAGATTGTTTATGTAAATTTCCTTATGGAGAAACCACACAGGAAGGAAATGAAAATATATCAACAAAGACTAACTATCTAAGCATATCTGTCACGTCCTTAAGAATCCCAGGAAACTTCAATCATAATCTGTCTAGGTAGAATGACTGGCATTAGTTCCTGCCCAGTATGCACTAAGAGATTAGAAGTGGTAGATGTCTGCCTTAGGTTGTTTTTATTTTTAAAATGTTATTGCTTGGCTGCGTGTCTCAGTGGTTGAGGTTCAACCTATGAACCCGGAGGTCACGGTTTGATTCTGGGTCAGGGCACATGCCTGGATTGCGGGCTCGATCCCCAGTGTGGGGAGTGCAAGAGGTAGCTGATCAATGATTCTCTCTCATCATTGATGTTTCTCTCTCTCTCTCCCTCTCCCTTTCTCTCTGAAATCAATAAAAAATATATATATTAAAAATTATTATTTTAATTGATTTTGAGAGAGAGAGAAACATAGATGTGAGAGAGAGATAGCAATCGCTTGCCTTCACAGGTGCCTGAACTGGGGATCAAGCCCACCACCTTCCAATGCATGGGATGACACTCTAACCAACTGAGCCACACTGGCCAGGGCAGCTTTGTTTTTATCATAAAAGAACAAGGCAGTTCCGAAAGATCTGGCAGGGTTTTAATGTTTGGTCAATATTTTATCAAAATTACTAGAAGCAAATTACAAGAAATGATTTGAGGATGGGTAAAAATTAACTTCTCTAGTTCTAAAAGAGCTTTTATTGCTATCCAAACATGGCCACAAGCTAACACCAATCACTAGGCTTTTTAGAACGTGAAACAAATAAAGTAACTTGGCCTTGTGATGGACAATTCCCCCAGCATGTATACTGAACTTATTTTTGGCAAGACAATATAGGTACACCAGTTTCTGTCTGGGCCGTCCAGATACAAAGCTTTCAATAAGGAAACTGAGTCATGGTGGGAGTGAGTGACTTGGCAGAGAGGCCAGAATGAGGCATGGGCAAGCCTGGGTCCAGACTCAGCTCAGCCACCAACAAATCCCAACATTTAGAGCAACTCACGTTACTGTCTTATGCATTGCCTTCATAGGAGACCACAGAGCTCATTGCTCAGGCCATGCATTTTTGAGAATAAAAGCAGGTGCTATTAATCCACTGGACAACTGATCTTTTGGGTTCCCTCCTGCTTTATTTGTTTATGGGTTTTTTCCCCCCATTGATGCCCTCACCCCATACATGACCCTCCCAGGCCTTTACCACTCTATCGTCTGTATCCATGGGTTATGCATCCATTACAGCTGCAAATAAAACCCAGGTTCCTGATCACCAGCCCCACACTCTGCTCCCCAAGACAGGCTATCTTCTGCCAGGACTTATCTACACTGGAGTTCTGTGGAAGGGTGTGTTCAACATAAGGATCCACGAAGGCACTTTCCCAGCAAATAAGGACAGGCTGACCTGTACCTGCTTGCTCGTGTACTCACACACCCCAAACCCACGTGTGTTCAGAATCAATAGTGCTGGAATAACAAATCCACACGAGGGTCATTGAAGGCAGAGGCGGCCAAGGCAGCAAGGGCCAGGAAGAGAACAGTCCTCCCCACCCCCACCCCCTATCTCGGTGTATCAGGAGAATCCCTTTTACTTGCAGCCTCAAGGCTATTCTGCACCAGCCCACCCAAGGCCAGCAGGCAGGATGGGTGTGATCCAGGGGCTGCCTCAGGATCCGCAGGTGTTGGTTTTTAAATGGGCAGGTTAGTATTTTATAAATCACTCTGGGCCACAGCCCACTCATCTGCTAACAATTTCATCTTTGCACAACCCCATCCACCAACCCCATTCACTTGGTGCTTTAAAAGTTTAAGGAAGCCATCAACATTTTCTAAAAATGTATCCAGGGTTAGGTTATGACGCGGCCTTAAAAAAAAAAGTCTATGTAAATTAAGCCATTCCACACTAAGAGAATTTGGCAGAAATTCTGTCACAGTTATACAAACCTGTTTTATCACCTGTGCAAACCCATCACTCACTTTTTAAATAAAAACATTTTTAAGTGAAACTTTGAATGGCAAAAAGAGGAAACATTTGGCTTCCAAACAGCAGCATGAAACAGATTTGGCTACCACCCCGACGCCAGCAGCCTAATCCTTTCCCCCAGAGCTGGAGTCCCCCCATCTCCCCGTGTCCCTGTCTCCTGGGGCTCAGGGTGGTGCTTACCTTCCCCGCCCCTCCTCGCTGCTGCTCTCACCAGTAAAGACGGTGCCCTCTGGCTGCCCAGCTGCCCTGGGCTCCCAGACGCCTGAGACTCTGCTTCAGCTCCCAGGGAGGTTAATTACACACCTGGCCACGCCCCTCCCAGAGGCAGGAGGTGCCACGGGCAGCCGCCACTTGCCAACAGGAGCTGCAGCAGTCTCAGCTCTCCAATGAAAGAAAGGGCTGTCAAGGGCCCACAGTCGCAGGAACTTAGGGGACCCCTTGCCACAAACTGTAAGAAGGGGGTTCCTTGTCACTAAGGCAGAAAAACTGCTCTATCAGGGGCAGCCTGTTCCAAAGGAGAAACCAGGTAATATTTATAAAGCCCGTGAGAAGAATTTCTTGACATTTTAGTAACCTTAAGGTGGCTCTCCATTTTCCCCCAGAAAGATAAGTTAAATGCAGCCACTTCAGATGAGGATGAATGCATTTAACAAAAAATAAACCAATTCAGAAAAAGAAATCTCTCAGGGCCCACAGTCTGTAGGGAATTCCTTATGGGATGTGATTTGAAGAATTCTACTGAAAACCCCCAATCTTGGTATATTTTCCCCCAGCAAGTTGCTTGGAATTCTGACTAGTAGAGATTATGAGTTTTGCCTGAAACTTTGATTTTCCTGATTGTCCCAAATGGTAATTACATTTATGTAACATTTTGGAAAACTCTCAGATGTGCTATCTTGCTGGAACCTACTTAATATACCAGGGAGAGACATAACTCATTAAGCAATCTTATCTATTAACACTATAACTTTAATTAGTTTTCCAAAATGAGTAAGTAAAGCTTTGAGGATATTACACCCCGGAAATCGGGCATGTTTGGGTTGGCGGAGGGACGGGAAACCATGAACAACATGGCCAGATGTCCTAGGCCGTGGGCACCCCTGCCCCCACACAGGTGCTGAGGTGAGGGACAGACAAGAAGCACAGAAGCCACAAGAACAAACTTCACCCACTCACGCTTCTGCCTGGTGTTGAGATCTGGAAATCACTTTGAAAAGACCCTGTAGTGCCAAAAAGACTCACCCAATGCTGAGAACTCAGGCCAGTTCCTGAGAGAGCAAGGTGGCTGTCCGCCAGAGCCGAGCGCCTGGTGCGTCAGCCATGATTCTTTACAGTAATTACAATCCTCTGGCTTACACTAGGTATTATGTAGGGAACAAAAGGAAGCTTTAGTTTTGAAACATCCCTCCTCACCATCCCTTCTCATGCGCTAGCACAATCTTTAAATAATGCACCTCTGAGGCTCTGAGTAATTCCTCCTGCTGACCGCCCCAGAGCATATCTGGGTTTCAAGAATGTGCTTGAACATTCTGAACACCCTATCCTAGCTAGAGCTGGTAGTGTGGTTTTGAGGACCCAGAAGCGATGGCCTTAGGGGTCCTTCTTCCTCTGAGGTCCTGTTGCTGTCCTCCCTGGGTCCTGGGGTGTGTGGTCCAGTGGGTAGTGACCCCTCCTCTCTCTGGGCCTCACTATCCTCACTTGTGAAGTGAAGGGTTTGGGTTTTACATCAGAATCACTTGGAGAGTTTCAAAAAAAACAATGTCAGGCTGCACAGGGGTTCTGATTTAATTGGTTGGGGTGGGACCCAGTCCCAGGTTCAAAACTAAATTAAATGATCCCTGGGACCTTCCAAGTTGTACAAAAATCCACAGTTCTGCCTCTGTGGATTTATTTATTGAATTAATATTTTCTAGGCATACTCATTTTTTATTTTCAGTATGTTGCATAGGATGATTTTTAGAGCTGCTTTTAATGATTAAAAAAAGACCTATTGCCTGGCTGGCATTGCTCAGTGGTTGAGCGGCAACCTATGAATCAGGAGGTCATGGTTAGATTCCGGTCAAGGGAACATGCCCAGGTTTTGGGACTCAATCCCCAGTCGGGGGGCTTGCCAGAGGCAGCCAGTCAATGATTCTCTCTCATCATTGATGTTTCTAGCTCGCTCTCCCTCTCCCTTCCTCTGAAGTCAATAAAAATATATTTAAAAATAAATAAATAAATAAATAAATAAAAATTGTTTATTTTAAAAAAGATCTATTGCTCAAGTATTGTTTGTTGGGTTGTAATTGGCATATAATGCTGCAGTGTCTACAGTGTACAATCTGATAAATTTTCACTGATAAGAAATGGTTATCACAATCACAATATGAACACACCCACCATCCCCAAATTTCCCTGTGCCCTTGGTAATCCTCCCAGCCCTCTTCCTCCTGCCCTCCTCCCCCAGGTAACCACTGATCTATTTTCTGTTACTAACAATTAGTTTGCATTTTCTATCAATGAAGTCACACAGTGTGTACTGTTTTTTGCCTGGCCTCTTATCATTTTGTTTTTGCTCTTTAGATATCAAGCTCTTTGAGAACAGGAGCTACCTTTCATTTGTTTCCTCTTCTTCCTGGCCCCCAACTTATCTTTGCTCAGAGAAGCCCCCTAATCATAATTTGCTTGATTGAAATCAGACCTTTATGACCTTCTAACTGAGCTTCAGTTTGGTGGCTAAGAAGTGCCTGCCAGTGGGTTCAGGGTCTTAAATCAGCAGCTTCAGCTCAGTTAAAAAAAAAAAAAAAGCAAAAATAAATAAATAAAATAAAAGCCTTGGTTTCAACTATGGAATTTAGGGCTTGGACTTCCAGCGGTCTAGAAAATGAACATCATGGTGTGTACTGGGGACAAGGGGGTGAGGGGACTACCTTCAAAAGGCTCTTGGCTTTCACCAGATTCTTAATCTTAGTCACAGGTTCTTGGCCCAAGGGAGGAACTATGGAATTAATGTTATCCTTATTGTATTCCTATATGCATTTTGTGACTATAATGTCTAATTATAAATCCTCTGCCATCCGCTCCCCCTCCCTCCCTTCTCTCCTCCCCGCTACCTTTATTTTGTTTTCTGCCTGCTCTGGTTATCCTAACCCTTCTTAACTAAATACACTACAGACCTTGTCGAGGGAAGTGCTACTTCATGGAAACTTTTTGCATTCCTCTTCTCTTTAAGACCGTCTCACCTAAGCTCTGTGGTATGCTGTGCCCCTTTTTCCCACAATAATTCTTGTTCCACTTTACTTAACAGTTTACCTGGGTACCATTGTGCTCAAATATCACAAACCTACATTTTCTCAAAACCCCAGAGCATGGGGTTCCTTTTCACCTTAAACAAGGTCAATATTTTCATCTTCATAACCGATAAGTATATTGGGAACCAGAAGTAACAAGAAATAGCACTGCAAATTTACAGTCGAGCCACCTCTACTCAAACCAGAGATACCTCCCCTTCCCCACTGCATTGAACACAAAAATATTTTAAAATGATATTATGTCTAATTTTATTTTTTTTTTACAAATGTAAAAACTTTATTGGTATACATATTTCTTAAATTTTAATACAAAATCTGATCTTAGTTCTAGAAAAAAAATCCAAGCACTTTCCATAGCCATGATTCGCTTTACAACGTTATGTCTAATTTTAAACTGAGCCGTAGCACAGCAGTATTGGCTTGAAATGATAAACTCATGTGTAACTGAGCACAGCCATACAAGCGCTGGTTTCAAAGTGCCTTGCGGAGATAGGAGAGAGTGAGAAAAACATCTCACCTACTGGCCAGACGGCCAACATAGACAGCCCCTCGCTCCGAATCCACCTCAACTCCATGCACGTTTTATGAGGATCTGATGTCGAACATCCCTCAGCATTCTCCGGCTCCCTGCTTGGGACCAGCTCTTAGCTTTCATTCTCCCTTACACCTCCACCTTTCCCAACAGTTACCATAGCAAATATGGTAACTGGAGCATTTCCGTGGCTTCTACACAAAGTTCCTTCCTCCTACATTAAAGGCAGATCTTTGAAAGTTACTTACGTGGAAGTGGCGAAGGCTGGGTTTGGAAGCTGAGTTCTCCGATGCCGGCCTGCTTAAATAGCTGAGCTGCCTGACACAGGCGGTTGACAGCACGTTATTTACGCCTGTGAGTTCACTCTCAAGCAAGGACCTGAAAAGCCTGCAGCGTAGGCAGAAAGAAAACAACTACGAGTATGCCGAGGTTACATCGCTCTGGTTATTCAGGTTTGATATTCAGGCGGTGACTTCTGAGAGTCTCATGGAACGTTCTCAGCACTACTGATTTCTTGTTCCTGATCTACTTCTTAGCCAAGCGAGATTCTGCACCGAGATTGGATGAGAGAGATGCAGCCAAGAGAAGGAAGACACACAGGACCCTGGAGCCTTGAGCCAAGTTTCTTATTTTGAATGGGCTTCCAGTTAGATGTTTTCTCATTTCAAAGCATAGGCTTGGTGAGGCTGATTTCACAGTTCTGGGGGCTGGGTGCCAAGCTAAGAGCCTGGATAATTGCCCAATCAATGAAAAGTTATTTTGTTTTCAGGCACAGAATGTACAAATAAAGAACAGTTATAAGGGAGGTTCAGCCTAGGATGACACAATATTAGGTCCCTTTGAAAACGATTGTCACTGCTTTCCCCCAGCGTCTATACTTTCCTCCTCATTTCCCCTCCCCTTCCTTTGTTAATGAAATTCCTATCTGAGAGTTGAGAGCTCAAATAAAAAGCCAGTGTGTAAGCAAGCCTGTGGGAAGATGCTCTCCAGGGGTGAGAGGGTGCTCAGTGGTTCGTGTGACCATCAGTGGAAATATTTCTAAGGGTGAGGGTATGTGTGTGGGTGTGGGGACCCGATTAGTCAATGTTTATCTCTAGTTTCTAGCTAAATATGGCAGTTAATAGTCAATTGCAGAATACTAAACGCATTAAGCCGGTATGATTTCAAGAGGATGAAGGAAGGGAGACGGGGCTTGGTGAGGTCATTTACGGGAGTATCTGTGTGTGTTTGCACAGACACAGGCTGGTAAGTGCCATCCAGATATGCACGTCCTATATTTTTCACTTCACTGGAGAAAGAAAAAGCCCGCTTGATTCTCTTGGGAACAGCAGCTGTCTGTAAAAGAAGAGCAGCAATCATTCAGAATATTTCTTTCCTTCTTCGAAAAAGGGATAATGGTTATAAAACATGTGTGGGAGAAAAGTAGAGACAGGAGGCCTAGCCTACCCCATCCCTGGTTACCAGAGGAATTCTTTTGTTTCCTGCCTAATTCATTGCCTAACTTTTGACTGTTCTATGGCCAAATTTGAATTCTTGCCTCCCAGATTTCTTGAATGCAGGGTCTTGTTCATCCTTTGACACCCACAGTGCCTGGCACAAATTGCTATGACAATGAAAATGAGGATGAGGATGAGGGTGACCATTATCACCCTGATCGTCATCTAGAATCTTGAGAAACTGACCATATGCCAGGTTCCATGTAAAACACTTTGCAGTGGGTTTCTTGTGTATTTAATCCTCACAACTCTAGGAGTTAGTTTTTTATTATCATCATTTTAGAGCTGAGGAAACTGATTCTCAGAATTTTTTTTTGATTGTCAGAAATTTTAAATCACTTCCTCAAGGTCACAGCAAGTGGTAGAGGTAGAATTTGAAACCACACCTATCTGCTTCTACAGTCTGGGTTTTCACTCAGGACTGATTTGAACAAACACCAAGAAAGTTGCCTACGAATATTTTCACCTATCCTTATTTCTTCGCTTGTTATCACCTATCTTCCAGAATGTGACATCCATGGTCTCAATGACCTTGCCTGCCTTGTCCACTCTGGTGACCCCAGCACCCTGCACAGTGTATGACACATCGTAGGTGCTCAATAAGTATGTGCTATTTGCTCATTTTCTAAATCCTTTGAAGGCTATGTAACCCCAGACAGAGGGCCTGGCATTATCAGAGTCTCATCTTGGTTCAGACACATTTCTTTCGCTCTTGTATGGTGTGTTTGCTTCAAGCTGTTTCTCTTTATCCAGCGTATTATGGAGATGAAACTAAAGGTGGCAAAAACCATAGAGCAGCTTTACATCACTTAAGAAGGATTTCTAGGTAAGATGGCAGTGTAGGTAAACACGGTACTCACTTCCTCCCACACCACATCAAAATTACAATTAAACTACAAAACAGCCATCATTCAGACCACCTGATATCTGGCTGAAGGAAAGTCCTACCGCTAGCGAATTAAGGAAGAAGCCACCTCAAGACTGGTAGGAAAGTAACATCAGAGGAATGGCAGCATAAAGGTGCATCTTTTCCTCTCCCCCTGACATTTCAACAAGTTAACCATCTATGATTCAACAAAGAAATTCCTGCTCAACACAGATACATGCCTGAGAGACCCACACATGGAAACATCTAAAAGTGGGCATGGGGGAATAAACAGGGAGATGAGAAGGGAGGATGGCCCACAGACACAGCCCTGCAGCTGGCAGCTCGCGACTCATAGAGAACATTTTATGAACGTAATCTCAAAGGCGAGGGAAGTAAAAGCAAAAATAAATGAATGGGACTATATCAAACTAAAAAGCTTCTGCACAGCAAAAGAAAATGGCAACAAAACAAAGAGGCTGCCAACCAGATGGGAGATTATATTTCAGACAGTAGCTCCAACAAGGGTTTAATTTCGCAAATATATAAAGAACTCATAAAACTCAACAACAAAAAAACAACCCAACCAAAAAGTGGGCAGAGGACCTGAAAATACACCTCTCCCAAGAAGACATATGAACTGCCAATAGATATATGAAAAGATGTTTAACCTCACTGGCAATTAAGGAAATATAAATAAAAACTACAACGAGATAACACCTCACACCTGTTAGAGTGGCCATTATCAATAAGACAATCAATAACAAGTGTTGGAGAGGTTGTGGGGAAAAGGGAACCCTCATTCACTGCTGGTGGGAATGCAGACTGGTATAACCATTATGGAAAGCGGTCCGGCGATTCCTCAAAAAGTTAAGAATAGTCCAGCCAACATGCTCAGTGGTTGAGTGTCAACTATGAACCAGAAGGTCACAGTTTGATTTCCAGTCAGGGTACATGCCTGGATTGTGGGCTCGATCCCCAGTGTGGGGCATGCAGGAGGCAGACAATCAATGATTCTCTCATAACATAGATGTTTCTATCTCTCTCTCCCTCTCCCTTCCTTTCTGAAGTCAATAAAAAATATATATTTTTAAAATTAAGAATAGAGCTACTATATGACCTAGCAACCCCTCTCCTGGGTTTATACCCCCCAAAAAACTCAATCATGTATTCACAAAAATATGTGCACCCCTATGTTCATTGCAACACTATTCATAGTGGCCAAGACATGGAAACAACAAAGTGTCCCACAGTAGAGGACTGGGTAAAGAAGTTGTGTACATGTACCCAATGGAATACTACTCAGCCATAAGAAAGTATGAAATAGCACCATTTGCAACATCATGGATGGACTTTGAGAATATTATGCTAAGTGAAATAAGTCAGTTAGAAAAAGCTAAGAACCATATGATTTCACTCATATGTTGGGATATAAAACTGATACTCGGGAACACCAACAGCAGTGTGGTGGTTAGAGGAAAGGTGGTAGGGGGAAGAAGAGGGTCTTAACATAAGGTGACTTTGGGTGGTGGGCACACAGTGCAATATACATATCTTGTAATGTAGAAACCCACACCTGGAACCTATATATTCATGTTGACTAATGTCACCCCAATCAATTTAATAAAAAAATAAATAAAATAAGACTGGTAGGAGGGGTGAAGATGCAGAACAGTGTGGTTCCATACCCACGTGTGGCAGATAAAAATTAGGAGGGATATCTTGGCTGCAGAGGTATCCCCTGAGGAGCGAGGGTTCCCAGCCCCACACCAGGGTTCCCGTGCAAGAAGAGAAGTCCCCATAAGGTCTGGCTCTAAAAACCAGCGGGGATTGAAGCTGAGGGAGACAGAGGCTACTAGAGTCCTAAGCAGTTCCTCTTAAAGGGCCTGTACACAGACTTACTCAGACTCACACTCTCTGAGCTTCAGAGACAGATAGGAAGGGACATGGGCTTCCTCTTTAGTATCTCTTTTTGTTTGTTAGAGGGAAAAATCTTTCTAGAAGCTCCTAAAAAAATTCCAGTTTTTTCTCCTTGCTGAAAACTGGGCCAAATGACCACCACATTGGTTAGATCCATCATTTGCAAAAAGGAAGTGAATCAGGTTGATCATGGTTCATTTCATGGGTCCAAGAGAAGGTCCACCTTTTCCAGACAATTTTTGTGGTATGTGAAACAACACAGGATTCAGTTAAGAGAGAAGAAGTAGAAACGTGCTACCAACAGCCGATCCAAGAAGTCCTTTATAGTCTGATAACCTAACTGCTTTATCGCCTGGCCACCAATCTTAACCATTGCTACTGGGTTTCACTATATCAGTTCTCTGTTTCTGTGCATTTTGTTTATAATAAAAAAAAGTTTGCTTTGGCTCTGAGCAAAATTAAAACTATTTCAACAACCCACAATTAAGAGAAGTAGCTGGCCACAGCGATGTTTTTCTGCAGGTGTAAATGCTAGGTCTTTTCTTTTTAAAAATATATTTTTACTAGAGGCCTGGTGCACAAAAATTTGTGCACTCAGGGGGGTCCCTCAGCCCAAGCTGTGCCCTCTCACAGTCTGGGGCCCCTCGGGGGATGACCATCTGCTGGCTTAGGCCCACTCCCGGGGAGATTGGGCCTAAGCTGGCAGTCAGACATCCTTCTGGCAGCCCGGAGCCCTCGGGGGATGTCCACTTGCCAGCGGGGAGCAGGCCTAAGCTGCAGTCGGACGTCTTTAGTGCTGCTGAGGAGGTGGGAGAGGCTCCCACCACCATTGCTATACTGGCAGCTGGCAGCCAGGCTTGTGGCTGAGCAGAGCACTCCCTGTGGGAGCGCACTGACCTCCAGAGGGCAGCTCCTGCATTGAGTGACCAGTCATTCTCAGTCATTCTGCTGTTAGGGTCAATTTGTATATTGCCCTTTTACTATATAGAATAGAGGCCTGGTGCATGGGTGGGGGCTGGCTGGTTTGCCCTGAAGGGTGCCCCGGATCAGGGTGGGGGTCCCGCTGGAGTGCCTGGCCAGCCTGGGTGAGGGGCTGAGGGCCGTTTTCAGACTGGCCACATCCCCTTCAGGGTGGGGTTCCCCACTGGAGTGCCTGGCCAGCCTGGGTGAGGGGCTGATGGCTATTGTCAGGCTGGCCACAGCCCTTTTAGGGTAGGGGTCCCTGCTGGGGTGCCTGGCCAGCCTGGGTGAGTGACTAATGGCTCTTTGCAGGCTGGCCAAGCCCCCCAGCGGGGACCCTCACCCCATGAGGGTGTGGCTATCCTGTGTGAGGGGCTGATGGCTGTTTGCA